ATACAGCTGCAGACACCAGACATTGTTGCACTCACGGAGACAAAACTTGAAGATGTAATTTTAAATGTACAAGAATGTACAAGAATGTAACAACTCTTGTATATATCTCAAAAAAAAAAAATAAATGAGGTCATATTCCCAAGGGGCTACTCAATTTGGAGACGGGACAGAAAAATTAGGAAAGGCGGTGGCGTTGCTGTGCTGGTAAAAGAACACCTAAAGGTGAACGAAATAATGACTGTCAATCCACAAGAAGTTGACATAATAGCACTAAAGATCTGCCATGAGGATGATAAACTAATGATAATAAATGCATATAGTCCACCGCCAAGCAGCACATGGTCAAAGGAGGAGCTAGATAGTAAACGTGAAGGTCTTATAACAATAATGAGAGAGATCATAGCTAGAGTGGATAACGATAGATCACGACTGTTGATAGTCGGTGACTTCAACTTTGAAATCCATAGACTGGGAAGCATATGAAGCTAAAACAGAAGATTTTTGGACCTGTAAATTTGTAGACCTCATCCTGGAAACATTCTTGTATCAACATGTTAAACAAGCTACGAGGATGAGGGAAGGGGACGTTCCCTCCATGCTAGATTTGATATTTACCAGGAAGGAGGAAGAGATATTTGACATTCAGTACCTTCCTCCCTTGGGTAAAAGTGACCATGTGTTTTTGGGAATAAAGTATGCAATGCGTTATAAGCTGGAAGAAAATAAGAAGGTTGAAGCAGTTGAAAAACCAGACTTCAGGAGAGGACATTATGGTGACCTTAGAAATTTTTTTAGTGAGTATAATTGGACAGACTTGATGCTAGGCAAGGAAGTGAATGAGATGTATGTCAAGTTTTGTGAAATATATGATAAAGGCACAAAAAATTTATACCAAAACAGAGATGCAGAACTAGGAAACAGGATTGGTTCAATAGAAATTGCGAGAGGGCTAGAGACCAAAAGACACAGAAATGGAATCAATACAGGAAGAGGCCGAACCCCCAAACATACCAGCGATACAAAGATGCGAGAAACAACTACACAGCAGTGAGGAGAGAGGCAGAAAGAAATTTTGAAAAAGGGATTGCAGACAAATGTAAAACAGAACCAGGTCTATTCTATAAATTCATAAACAACAAATTGCAGGTAAAGGATAATATTCAGAGGTTGAAAATGGGAAATAGATTCACGAAAAATGAAAAGGAAATGTGTGAAACACTAAACGAAAAGTTCCAAAGTGTGTTTGTACAAAATGAAATCTTTAGGGAACCAGATACAATAAGAATTCCAGAGAACAACATAGAGCACATAGAGGTGTCTAGAGACAAAGTGGAAAAAATGCTCAAGGAGATCGGTAAGAACAAAGCAGCTGGCCCAGATGGCGTTTCACCATGGGTTATCTTGAGGTTATCTTGAGATGATTTCGGGGCTTTAGTGTCCCCGCGGCCCAGTCCTCGACCAGGCCTCCACCCCCAGGAAGCAGCCCGTGACAGCTGACTAACTCCCAGGTACCTATTTACTGCTAGGTAACAGGGGCATTCAGGATGAAAGAAACTTTGCCCATTTGTTTCTGCCTCGTGCGTGAATCGAACCCGCGCCACAGAATTACGAGTCCTGCGCGCTATCCACCAGGCTACGAGGCCCCAATCTCTCATTCCCATTCTCTTTGGGTTCTGAGAGAATGTGCATCTGAGCTCAGCATTCCACTTCACCTGATCTTTCAGACAACCCTGTGTACAGGAATCGTAGCAGACGTGTGGAAACAGGCTAACATAGTTCCAATCTACAAAAGTGGCAGCAGGGAAGACCCCCTCAATTATAGACCTGTATCATTGACAAGTGTAATAGTGAAAGTGTTGGAAAAACTAATCAAAACTAAATGGGTAGAACACCTAGAGAGAAATGATATAATATCAGACAGACAGTATGGTTTTCGATCTGGAAGATCCTGTGTATCGAATTTACTCAGTTTCTATGATCGAGCCACAGAGATATTACAGGAAAGAGATGGTTGGGTTGACTGCATCTATCTGGACCTAAAAAAGGCTTTCGACAGAGTTCCACATAAGAGGTTGTTCTGGAAACTGGAAAATATTGGAGGGGTGACAGGTAAGCTTCTATCATGGATGAAAAATTTTTCTGACTGATAGAAAAATGAGGGCAGTAATCAGAGGCAATGTATCGGAATGGAGAAATGTCACAAGTGAAGTACCACAGGGTTCAGTTCTTGCACCAGTGATGTTTATTGTGTACATAAATGATCTACCAGTTGGTATACAGAATTATATGAACATGTTTGCTGATGATGCTAAGATAATAGGAAGGATAAGAAATTTAGATGATTGTCATGCCCTTCAAGAAGACCTGGACAAAATAAGTAGATGGAGCACCACTTGGCAAATGGAATTTAATGTTAATAAATGTCATGTTATGGAATGTGGAATAGGAGAACATAGACCCCACACAACCTATATATTATGTGAGAAATCTTTAAAGAATTCTGATAAAGAAAGAGATCTAAGGGTGGTTCTAGATAGAAAACTATCACCTGAGAACCACATAAAGAATATTGTGCAAGGAGCCTATGCTATGCTTTCTAACTTCAGAATTGCATTTAAATACATGGATGGCGATATACTAAAGAAATTGTTCATGACTTTTGTTAGGCCAAAGCTAGAATATGCAGCTGTTGTGTGGTGCCCTTATCTTAAGAAGCACATCAACAAACTGGAAAAGGTGCAAAGACATGCTACTAAGTGGCTCCCAGAACTGAAGGGCAAGAGCTACAAGGAGAGGTTAGAAGCATTAAATATGCCAAAACTAGAAGACAAGAAAAAGAGGTGATATGATCACTACGTACAAAATAGTAACAGGAATTGATAAAAAATACAGTGGAACCTCTATTAACGAGTTTAATCCGTTCTGGCACCGAGTTCGTTACCTGGAAAACTCGTCTTAAGAAACAAATTTCCCCATTTAAAATAAAGGAAATAAATTTAATCCGTTCCACTCCCAAAAACATCCATACTTGTATGACTTTTTTTATGTAAATATAATACTGCACATGTAAATATAAATGTTTTGTTGTAGTGTTTTAATGTTTACTTTACCTTATGAAGAGTAGTTGCTGGCTTGAGGGAGACGATGGAGAGGTGGGAAGGAGGAGAGGGGTTATGGTGTGGAAGGAGAATCCACCTCTGAGTCAGGCGGACTCTCTCTTCTTGGGAATTTCACCCAAATTTCATTTCAAATGTCACACAAGGATGCGTTAGACCAGCACCAAATAAAAAACTACGTCGATTACACTCGTTGTGTCAACAATATAATAGTCTTACCACGAAGATACAATACAATGCCGTTTTCTCAAATAGGCAATGTGGTTATTAGAGAAAACGGAAATTTCATGGCAAACATGTATACAATCCCCAAGTCGATCGGATAAGAATTGGATTTTATAGAAATATTTGCTCAAATGACGCTTGAGCGCGGTGTTTGGGTGCATTCAAGAGAAAAAAGTGTGTCACGTTCAAGCGACATATACCTGCGAAAGTGATAACACTTTCATAAAGTGTTATCACAAAGTGATAAATTAATTAAACATTTTCACACACCGGGTTGTCACTGCTTTATCAGGGCAGCTTTTCCAAGAATGCGTTCACCTTTTCAAACATTCCAAACACTTCCCTGATCTCAGTGGAAGAGGCAGCATCCTCCCTTACCTCCTCATTCCCTTACTAATGGTGTAAATTGTTGATGAGGACCTGCCATACTCCCTTGTGAGATCAGTCACACAGACACCACACTCATGCTTTGCTATAATTTCCTTCTTCAAATCCACAGTAATTGTGTCTTTCTTCCTCTTGACAACACTATCTTTAGCAAGCAGCTTCTTTGGAGACATCGTGTGTTACAAATTGTAGTCGCAAAACCACTAAAAACCCAAAGAAAAGCTCAAATAAATCCAGAGGGATGCTTGTCGTGTGCGATACAACAACAACACTGGCGTCGGAGGCGTCCGAGAATTTGCGAGAACCCGCGAGATGCTAGGAAGCACCATGTGGTTTTGCTCGTTAATAGAGGCGAGCTCGTCAATAGAGACAAATTTGCTGCGAGTGGCTTGCTCGTTACTGGAAAAACTCGTTAATAGAGCCACTCGTTAATCGAGGTTCCACTGTAATGTAATATACGACTTTTTACGATCGAGGTTGGTGGCCTGGTCGCCATGTGAGGGGACGCCGATGCCAAAACAAACCCAGTACCGACCGTCGGTAATATCGACCGCCAGACCGGTATACGAGGTTCCAGATACCACTCTCCCAAACCGGGCGTAATTACTGGCAGATCGGTATAAAAGAGGCCGTTAAATTGAGAGGTTAATGTACATATCAGCCCTGTAAGCGCTAGGGAATCACCAGGGCTCACTCAGAAAATGGCGTTTCATTACATTCAACATTACATTCATTACATTACATTTATGGGTTGGTTTTTCAGAATAATTTATTTTCAGTGTACCATTAGCGTGTCCAATTTTATATCTGCACAGTACCGTAGTTAATGGCATGGGTATATTGTAGCCACTGATAGATCATTAGCAGTCATGTATTGTGATGACGTTACAGATACATAACTGCCATGTCATTATGGCTGGTCGCAACAGCTATGGTTGACCTGGCTTGAGAAAATTTCTTGGGACCTGCTTGAGTTTATATTGACCTATATTGACCTACCCGAACAAAGTTCGGGTAGGAAGGGGTCCACCAAGGGAAATCCCCCGGAATCACCTGGCATTATACCACACTCGACAGCTAGCTAGAGATGGTGAGGTCAAGCTCTTTCTTTATACCCATAAATATTAATGCATTTCATTACACTCAATACTTTGCCTTTGGAGAAATTTTTTTATCTGTAAGCAATTCATCCACTGCTTAGGGTGGGCTGTTAATTTTGATTATAATAAAATGCTTACTATTGTTGTTATTAATGTAATATTTGTATTTTAGGTCTTCACTACAGAGCTGATTGATGGTATTCCAGTGGATAAATGTGTTGATATGGATCAAGAGACTAGAAATTTCATATGTGAAAAGATACTTCGCCTGTGCCTTTTAGAACTCTTTTACTTTGGCTACATGCAGACTGATCCAAACTGGTCAAATTTCTTCTATAATGCAGAAACAGAGCAGGTACATATAATACAATATTTGTAGTACAGTATTCATTTTATTTATAAGAATATTTTAGGTAAGACAATTTTTCATTAACCACTTCATTGTGCAAGTGTTTCATATGACAACTCCATGGTGCGCGCAAAAAAAATAAAATAAAAAGAAGCATTGAATGTAAGGAAATGACAATTTTTAAGTGAGCCCCAGTGGCTCCTGTTGGGATCGAACTGTCGAAAACCCAACACATTTATAAATAGGTTAGTTCTGTAATTGCTTTTGTTAGCCATATGGATACTTTGATTTATTTAGGTGTCAGCCTCAGCACGACCTATTGTCAGGTGCGACACACTTTGTGCTGAGGTCTGACAAAGGACAAGAAATAAGTTTGTATAAAAACTTCATCATGGATATATTCGGATATATCTCGAACCACATAATATATATACATGTATTATATTGTATATAAAGGCATTGTACATAAGTACAGACAGGGAGCCGGTCGGCCGAGCGGACAGCACGCTGGATTTGTGATCCTGTGGTCCTGGGTTCGATCCCAGGCGCCGGCGAGAAACATTGGGCAGAGTTTCTTTCACCCTACGCCCCTGTTACCTAGCAGTAAAATAGGTACCTGGGTGTTAGTCAGCTGTCACGGGCTGCTTCCTTAGGGTGGAGGCCTGGTCGAGGACCGGGCCGCGGGGACACTAAAAAGCCCCGAAATCATCTCAAGATAACCTCAAGATAACAGATATATATATATATAATATATATATAATATATATATATATATATATATATATATATATATATATATATATATATATATATATATATATATATATATATATATATATATATATATAATATGTAGATACTACGACCATGTGATTGTCGTCACTGGTCTGTTGTTTCCTCCCACTTATAGATTATCTACTTTCCTGCAATTTGTACCACTATCAGGAAATCAGCGCGTTACCTCCACGTTGACCTCTAAATCTCCAAAACGGTATCTTCCATAACTTTCAAGAACGTCGACCATGCCTCGAGGTCCTCTTCCTTCGTGAGGGTGGAGCACACTAACAGTTGAGTCCGTTGGTCAAACATCCAAACGCGACGACAGCATGTTGACTGGATGGAGGGGAGTGGACTTCTGTTTCTTCTCATGCTCCGACCAGCACTCGTTACCTCGTCCGGTGCTTCTGATCGGCTAACAGAATTCCCGCCACCGGACGAGCCACACCGTGCTGACCGTTAACGACCTTCACGGTCGTTAACCTTGTTCTTCCTGTAACATTGAAAAATTTGCTATTAAATACCAGTGCTATGCGACGCAATAACACGATACAGTATTCCATAACACTCCCTAAAGATGCACACTGAGAGGGTTCCCCTCTATTACCTCACATCAGCCATGGAGTGTTTAGGTCTGCCGGGAACTAGAGCAAGAACCTAGCCTCCTCACAGAGGCGTTGGGAGCAGGGCCATTTTTGTCACCTTACTGGGAATGACATCCAGAAAGTCAGTGAGTCAAAACAAACTACTGCTGTGTTCAAAATTTGCCAAAGCCTCATAACGTGACTAATGAACTCCTTCAAATATGTAAACAAATGATCAGATCTTTCGAAACTAGTGTGAGCTTGTTCGCCCTATTTTCCACCTTACTTGGGAGGGAAGGGAAAAGGGGCTCACCACCTCCCAAAGTCTGTGCGATAATTTCTGGAATGAAATGCGAGAACACGGTCCAAAGACCATGTAGGCTCTGGTGGCGCATGAGCCGGCCGAGGTGAAACAAGGCACTGCAAAATGGCACTGAAGAAGTACCAATGCCCAATGCAAGCTCCACCAGCTCCACCAATGCTTCACGATACAAGGCGACAGTATTTGGCATGAGATACCAATTAAGAAAAATCCAAGAAAAACGAAAGGAGAGCCACGAAACCTCATATTGTCACCTAGATGAGGAATGCAGGTGGGATACCATCAAAGAAGCCATTTGCTCACCATAAAGATGAAGATAAAAATGTGTCAAAGATCCAGTTGTAAAGAGCTGAGGAGAAGATCAAACCAGGGAATTACTACACTTAGTCAACCTTTTGATAGAAGTGAGCCACGAAAAACACCTGGGCTCAGACACTGAGCAAGCAGAACCTGAAAACAGGGCTGGGCCAGCCACCAAGGAGCCAGAAAGATCACTCTGCCCTGGTAGGACTCTAACCTGTCTAGGACCTGGAGCAACAGCAATACCGGAGCATAGAGGTATAGGAATCCCCATCTCAACCAGTCCAACCGAAAGACATCTACTATGATGGCCTTGTGATCAGGGAGCATAGCCGCTTACAGAGGAAGGCATTGATTCCACGCCGACACAAAACGATTCACCTCCAGGTACCCGTACATCTTACAAAGCCAAAGGAAGGAGGCAGCATTAACAGGCATTAACAATGGAGACGAAGAGGAACTGGGATAATCATCCTCAAAAACTATGGACACTCCTTGAATGTAATCAGCTCACAAAACCAAACCCCAGGACCCCACCAAGATCCCAGTATAAGAGCTACGTGAAGAGTCCAGCTCCAAAGGGCAAGGAACCGAAGTGAACTGTCCCAGTTGAGGCATTGAACCATAAGGGAATACTCCGATTGGAGCCAGAGCCACAGAGACTGGAAAAATCCAAATCATAAGTAGCACCTGCTACACAGCCGCAAGCTTTCACACTGCACTGTGAGCCCAACAAAAGGGAGCAGTTCAATTACCCTGGTTGGCCTGGTGAGTGTGGGTCATAAGCCCCAATTTAGTGCTGAGACATTTGTGTGGATGTCAATCAAGGGCAGAGGAAAGAGGCAAGGAACCAAACCTCAAAAAGCCAAAGAGGAAGCCAGTGAAGGGCCAACAGAACCCATGCCCAATGATCAAAGCTTGAAATGCCCAACTGGTAAACCAGAAGTGGGAAGTTCAGGCTCCCACATAGCTGCATGAGCAACCGCCACATCACTCGAGTCTCCCTCAACATCAACAGATGAAAGGACTGCAGCCAGAGTAAGGTTGTTGGCAAAGTGATGCCAACCATGAATCCTAAATTAGGCCCAACCAGGTCTGAACCTGGGACAAAATCATCTGGGACTTCTGCCAGTTCACCAGTAGCCCGAACTCAGTGAACTGGGAAAGAACCAGTTCCCTTGCTAGCAAACAAGCCAACCGGCTGGGAGCCCAAACCAGCCAGACGTTGAGGTATCTTGAGATGATTTCAGGGCTTTAGTGTCCCCGTGGCCCGGTCCTCGACCAGGCCTCCACCCCCAGGAAGCAGCCCGTGACAGCTGACTAACACCCAGGTACCTATTTTACTGCTAGGTAACAGGGGCATAGGGTGAAAGAAACTCTGCCCATTGTTTCTCGCCGGCGCCTAGGATCGAACCCAGGACTACAGGATCACAAGTCCAGTGTGCTGTCCGCTCGGCCGACCGGCTCCCTAGGTAGGCCAACATCTGAAGACCAAACAAACGAAGACGGGCCTCAACAACCCCAGTCAAGCCCGTAATAACGCACTGTATGTAAAGTGTTAAGCCTGAGCGGGAGAGCCTGAAAGTGGTAAGCCTGTCACCCCACTACAGAACCTAACCAATCCCTGAACCCCAAATGTAAAGTGGTAAGCCTGTCACCCCACTACAAAACCTAACCAATCCCTGAACCCCGTATATAAAGGGATGTGCCAATAAGCATCCTTGAGGTCCAGGAAAATCATCCAAGTGCCTGGCTTGAGGACAAGGCAGATCTGGGACAATGTAGTCATCTGAAAGAACAGGCAACTGGTTCAGACTGAAGACATCTAGAATGCATTGGAGAGCTACACCAAGTTCTACATGAATGGATATCTACATGAAAGTTCTCCAGTAATCCTATGTGTAGTAATTATAAATTAATGCATGTTATTAAGGTTTCCACAAATCACTGAGAATAACCAAAAGAAACCAGCAAGTTTCCCAGCAGATAAAATGATGATCAACTTGTCAGAGCAAACTGGTCAAGTGAAGTGTGTAGAGATAAGCTGAACATGAACGTAGAATTGGCAGTCTAACACTAATAGTGGTTTAGTGACAAACTGTCAGGATATACTGCGGGTTTTCTCAAATACATCAAAAGTCACCAGTATATGATGTAACACTTGATGAGTCTAGTTCCAACTCTAACAAGAGGCTACAGCCTCTCTACAGAGCAGACAGCTTATTCCAGCTATACTCGAGTTACCTGCTATCACCCTACATTCAAGCTCCACATTTTTGCCCTCCTCCAAGCCTTCTACCCCAATCCCTGTTGAAGCTCTCTGCTCCTGGCTCCAGGTCTCCCACAAGCATCCTCATCTCAGCTATCACAACATATTACATTTCCAACATCTGAGTGCTGTAATCAAGACAATATTAAATAATCATAAGAAACCACTATACTCTTTCAGTGTTGTCACCTAAAAGCATATACTGTATGTTATAAGTTAATGGATTATACATGGAGATTACATACGTATAGGTTAATGGATTATGTAATATATAGAGATTACATATGGTTAAGGATTATTTGTGGAGATTACACATGGTTAAGGATTATTTGTGGTGATTTACATGTGGTTAATAGATTTTATTTAGGAGATTACATATGGTTAATAGATAATGTGTGTAGATTACATATGGTTAATGGATAATGTGTGTAGATTACATATGGTTAATATATATAAGGTGTAGATTACATATGGTTCATGTAAAATATGTAGATTACATATGGCTAATGGATAATATATATAGATTACATATGGTTAGTGGATTATATGTAGAGATTACATAGTTAATAGATTATGTGTGTGTGTATATAGAGACTGCTTTCATCATAAAATGTTCATATCTACAGGTAGCACTCTTGGACTTTGGTGCATGTCGGGATTATAGCAAGAGTTTTGTTGACAAGTATATCCACTTAATCCACGGTGCAGCAATAAAAGACTATGATAAAGTTCTCCAGTACTCACAGAAGCTCGGCTTCCTGACAGGATATGAGGCAAAGGCAAGTTCAGATAGGTTTTTATGTTTTATTTATATTTATTAATCTGCTTCTGTGGGTGAAAACATGGTGAGATACTTTCACTAGCAATATTATACTTGTTTACAGTTAAAGAGATTATTAAGAAAACACCAAAGTGGTAGTATGTTAGGAGGAAGTGATCTTGAGGGGGGCAGACAATGCTGTTTTTCCAGCAAATGTGAAAACCATTCACTGGCCAAAACCATTCTCACCATTCACTCACCAGTGAACTCACCATTCACATTCACTGCCCAAATGTTATGTATGCTAGTGACTTTACAAGAATGTAAAATTTCAAGTCTCTGTACTCTAATAAACCCATTGTACCTTCTTGTATATAAATAAATAAATAAAATTTGTTACAATGACCTGAATGAGGATCCAAACTTGAGAGATGTTAGTTTGTATGTAATGTATCATTGTACTTAAGCTGTGGTGTCCACTTCATGTAAGTGCATGTGTAAATTTTAAGTAAAGTGCTTGCTAGTGAGTATGATGATGTGTCAGACCTTATTTTTAACAGGTCCATTGACCTTTTCTTGCAGGGCTCCTTCAGTAACTCTCTGACCTTAGCACTAGTTCAGCCATGCCTTAGGGTGATGCACCAGGCTTCTGAGACCCACACTCCTTTACTGTGGCAGACATCTATTATATGCTACCAACCGCTGCATCAGCCTGGGTAATGAGCATCTATATAGATAGATAGCATCAGCTTTGCAGAAGTAATCTGTGCAGTTGTTTGTTTTAGTGTGTTCTTCCTTTCTGATGGTTTTTTTTCTTGGCTACTCTAGTGATCCTAGATCTGCACCACTCCTGTTTCCCTGTGTGTATGTGGCTCAGATACCAGGGCATGCATCACAAAGAGTGGTTTCATTACATGCAATGCTGTTTTTCTTGGGGGAGCCCCTTATGACTCCCTGAAACTACCGTCACTGACAGTGTACCATCTACTGGATCACATCAGCTGCAGAATTCTATTTGGCCTACCAGGGACCAAGAGCCAGAATCTGCCCCCCCCCCCCTCATAGAGGCGCAGGGAGCAGTGGCATTTATCTCTTGATTTATGCCACCACTGGGGGAAGGCACCCAGAAAGTCAGCGAGACAAGCAACCACAGCTGGCTAAAGAAGAGACTGTAACATCATGAACAATGTAACAAAAATATCGAAAAGTGAAAATCAGTTGCCAGTTCATTTGCCTCACCTTCCCTACTTGTTTGTGGGGAGGGGAAGGTAGCTCATGGTCAGCCGGTGACACAGCCCTCAGTTCTGTGCTGATATGTGTAGTGTGTGTATCCAGTTGCCTCTCTACACATGGGCCCCAGTCTCCGGCTTGAGCTAAGCGGTGGTTTCTGACAATCGTTGGCTTTTCATCACACTATTCAGTGTAGCATGAGCCTGGATTTTTGAGTGCTTGGAGCTGCATGTGCACAGGGCTATCTTCCCTGCATGTTCTCTAGTGCTACTCTTGCACTTCAGGGGTTTTCTTCCCTGTGGTATTCAGGGTCACTTCCTTCCTTTTCTCTTTCTCACTTTTGGTGGTTCTCACCCAGGGTAAGTCAGATTCCTTGGGTTTCCTGTCTTTACTCTGGGGGTGCCGCATTTGCTGGCTCGAGGTTGCTGAGTATTCACATGTTGCACATTAGCGCGCCAAAGTCAGCTTTCTTAGCCATCGTTGCCAGGCTATGGTGGCCTACTATGCCATTTCTATCTTTTAGTTTACTTCTGCATTATCAGACACAGACACCTTCCTAAAAGTGTTGATTCTGTTGGTATAGATTCGACGGCATATTCTTTTAGGTCCAGCATAGCATCCCAGTGCCTGGGTGTATTGCTTGTTCAATTCCTTTTGGCCCTAGTAACTCCCTGCAGATCTGTTTGTCTCTTATGTCATTTCATAGACTCATCATCCTCGCCCACCATGGAACAAATAAGGGGAGGGAAAGGCCTCAAAGGAAGAAGGTATTGGTTGAAAAGACCCTGAAGCCTTGATAGGAGTAACTGATTCAATTGCCTCCACACCCTCATCAGAAGGAACAACCCCTGGAGCAGACCGAGCCACATCCCGAACTAGACACAGCTCTGAATCCAAAACCCTCAGACACCTCAGGGATGGAAGCAGGGGAAAGCGGGGGAGGGGGGGAGGGATGGGGTTAGGAAGGAAGGTAAGGTGGGGGCAGGCAGACCCAAGGCTGAGTTGACCAACACCTCTAATTCAGGGTTAGTAATCACCAACCTGGGTGATAAGGGACCTGGGGGATCCAACTGGGCACGCAACTGAGACCGCTGTAACCTACTAAACAGAACACATAAAGCGATTGCTACCTGAAAAGCTTAAACCTCAGAGGGTCTGAAAGAGTAGTCACATGAGGAGAATAAACTCCAGAAGACTGTGTGTCAAAGGTGTCACTGATCTAACAGGCGACATGTGGGAGGCAGAAGAAACGAACGTTGCCACGTGACATGGACAACGTACAGCCCTCAAACTTCGATGAAGAGCTGGTTCAGAGAGGAAAAGGAGAAAAGGAATTGGGTAAAATCCCAGTTTGTGTATCGGAGAAGCTGCAGGATCCATGTGGGGGCAGTAGCATTCTCAGTTGCAATTCTATTGACTATGTCGTGGCGCAATCAACTAAGGCGCATCTGGGATCATCCTGGATAAAGGTTCGAACCCTCATCATGGCCCTTGTGGATTTGTTCTTTGATGTATCAAGCTATTGTGATTTCTGTATAATTACCTAAGTGTAGTTACAGGATGAGAATTACACTCGTGGTGTCCTGTCTTCCCAGCACTCTTTGTCATATAACGCTTTGAAACTACTGACAGTCTTGGCCTCCACCACCTTCTCACCTAACTTGTTCCAACCGTCTACCACTCTGTTTGCAAAAGTGAATTTTCTTATATTTCTTCGGCATCTTTGTTTAGTTAATTTAAATCTATGACCTCTTGTTCTTGAAGTTCCAGGTCTCAGAAAATCTTCCCTATCAATTTTATCAATTCCTGTTACTGTTTTGTACGTAGTGATCATATCTCCTCTTTTTCTTCTATCTTCTAGTTCGGCATTTTTAATGCCTCTAATCTCTCCTCATAGTTCTTGCCCTTCAGTTCTGGGAGCCACTTAGTTGCATGTCTCTGCACCTTTTCCAGTTTGTTGATGTGCTTCTTAAGATATTGGCACCACACAACTGCTGCATATTCCAGCTTTGGCCTAACAGAAGTCATGAACAATTTCTTTAGTATTTTGTCATTTATGTATTTAAAAACAATTCTGAAGTTAGAAAGCATGGCATAGGCTCCTCACACAACGTTCTTTATGTGGTCCTCAGGTGGTAGTTTTCTATCTAGAACCACCCCAAGGTCTCTTTCTTTATCAGAAGTCTTTAAAGATTTTCCACATAATTTATAGGTTGTGTGGGGTTTATGTTCTCCTATTCCACATTCAATAACATGGCATATATTTACTTAATTTAAACACTTTCGCTCAGCGAGGACTCGGCATTGAGTCCTCTGTGCGGCAAAAGTAGCAGCGTTTTTGGGAAGGTTTTGCCACGGTTTTGGACATTATATGCATATACAGTGGCACTTCGACTTACGATTGCCCCGACTTACGATAATTTTGAGTTACGATGTAAATTTCATAAAAAAATGCGACTCGACATACGATAGTGTCGTCGACTAATGATATTTGTTGGTACATGTTCGGGTCGACTGAGCGTGTGATTCCCGGTCACACGATCCGACCTGCCACAGTTTACTACAGCTGCCTGCTTAGTGACAACCGCGCCTATAAGAAATTCTGCGTTTGTGGTGATTTTTTGCATTTTGAACATTAAAGTAATTATTATATATCATGCAATGAGTCCCAGGAAAGTCATTGGTAAGGCTCAACATATGAGATCCCATGTAAGGATGACTATAGAGCAGAAACAAGAGATCAATCGTAAATATGAAGATGGTGTGCAGGTTGTTGGACTGGCTAGGCAGTACAACAAATCTCAGTCAATGATATCCACCATACTGGCTAAGAAAAAGGACATTATGGGTGCTAAAGTGATGCATCATTACAGACAAATGTTAAAACGAAGGGAAAAACAAATGTCTCTTGACAAATTTGTAGTGAGACAAACAAGCACTGAACCACAACCAGGTCCTAGTGGTATTCAGGCAAAACGTAGGAGAGAGTACCCTAGAGAAAACATCACTGCCTGATGTGATAATGGAAGGGGACTCCCTTTCCAAACAGTAACAACTCTCCTCCTCCCCCCCTTTTCCACCATCTTCCATATGCCATCAAGAGCCCTCCATTAAGGTAAGATAAACTTAGGTACTGTATTGTAGTTAGAAAAAACATTGTATTCAGTGTAAAATGTATTTGTATGTTAATATTTTGGAGGTGGGGAACGGTATAATTCAAATCCCTTTATTTCTTATGGGAAAAATCGCTTAGACTTACGATATTTCGACTTACGATCCGTCTCTGGGAACGGATTAATATCGTAAGTCGAGGCCCCATTATACTCCTTTAGGGAATTTCATTATGAATATACTGATACCAAAATGAAAGACCTAGGACCAGAATTGAGGTAACAAAGTTGAAAAGAGAATACACTTTTCAGAATTACCGCGCTCTCTAATGTAATGAGAGTCTGCTTGGGGTGGCGCAGCACTCTCTTTCTGGTAACCGCGGCCTGTTTTCATCATGTCGGCGGGTGGAGATCACTCCTGTTTCTGGGGGAAGCCCCGTCAGCTCCCCGGAGCTATCCAGGCTGAATGGATACGTATAACTTTCTGGCATCAGTCAATGCATGGAGTTCTTGCCTACCGGGGACCACGAACCAGAACCTGGCCCCCTTTAGAGAGGCACGAGGAGCAATGGCCTATAGAGACCCCCCTTATGATTGGGAGCTTTCTATGTCTGCCATCGACCGGGATAGGCACCCAGAAAGGTAGGCGCCCCAAAACAAACCACTATTCTGGTAAACT